AGGAAATGGGATTAGAGTTAGATTTTAGAATGTCATGAATATTGATTAGAGATTGTTGTACATAAAATTATTTAAAGTTTTGTCTGAACAAAGGCAACATAATCTTAGTGCTCCTGTTTCAGGAAAGTTAATGGGGTAGCAGTGTTTAGGATAAGCTGATCTCCCTGCTCCATCTCTTCCAGTTGGGAGATTTTTGCAAGCAAGAGAAGACAAAATCCTGACTAGAACAGAGTTATCAAAGAAAGAGAATAAATAAGACTTGTCCACTTACTGGAAATCTAGGAGGAAGAGGAGGAAAAAATGATATATTTTGAATAAAGATGTCCTAGAGAATAGGAGTTAGAAAAATTAGAATAGTTGAAAGGAGGACGATTTTTAAGTAGAAGAATACATTTAGTTTTAATACACTGACTCAGAGAACTAGTGTGATTTCTAGTTAAACATTTAAATAAGGATGTGGGAAATATAGGACTAAAGTTTTGAAGACATATCAGGACTGGAGATATAAATTTCTAAATTATCTACAGTGAAATAATTGAAGTTATGTAACTCTGAGAAGCTCTGTCAAATCATGAGAAGAGTATGAATGTGGAGTATGACAGATGTGTTCATATCCTGTATCTACTATACCTTTTGTATGATATGCAACAAATTACTTAACTCCATTATTTTCCCATATATAAGGAGAAAATATATTATCCCTTAATTAGGATTACATGAGTTAAATACTTAAAAGCTCATATTTAAGCTGTTTTATATTTTGGGGAATAATTCTCCATAAGAAATACATTTATTTTGCCATCTAGTATCTTAAAAATACGTGATGTGCCTTTAAAAATATTTATTTTTGGCCGGGCGCGGTGGCTCATGCCTGTAATCCCAGCACTTTGGGAGGCCAAGGTGGGCGGATCATGGGGTCAGAGGATAGGGACCATGTTGGCTAACACAGTGAAACTCCGTCTCTACTAAAAATGCAAAAAAATTAGCCAGGTGTGTTGGCAGTCACCTGTAATCCCAGCTACTTGGGAGGATGAAGCAGGAGAATAGCTTGAACCCAGGAGGTGGAGGTTGCAGTGAGCTGAGATCATGCCACTGCACTCCAGCCTGGCAACAGAGAAAGACTCTGGCTCTAAATAAATAAATAAATAAAAATAAGTGTGTGTGTGTGTGTGTGTGTATTTATTGACTTTCCTTTGATTCTAGTACATGTGATCTTTTAAACTTTCATGACCTACTAAAGGGTTGCAACCCACACTTTGGAAAACTGATCCTCCCATACATTATGGTTTTCATCCAATTCCTCCTCTAGTCACAAGCTTTTTTTTTTTTTTTTGAGCCAGTGTCTTTCTCTGTTGCCAGGCTGGAGTGAAGTGAGGTGATCTTGGCTCACTGCAACCTCTGCCTTCTGGGTTCAAGCGATTCTTGTGCCTCAGCCTCCCGAGTAGCTGGGACTACAGGCACATGCCACCATGCCCAGTTAATTTTTGTATTTTTAGTAGAGACAGGGTTTCACCACAATGGCCATAACGGTCTCGATTTCTTGACCTCGTGATTCACCTGCCTTGACCTCCCAAAGTGTTGGGATTACAGGCATGAGCCACCATGCCCAGCCCCTAAACAAGCATTCTATGTTGAAATCATATCACTACTATTCTATGTTCTCTTGACTTTCATTTATTACTCTCTCTTCATAGGCTTCTTGCTAGTATCACATTATTCTTTTATGGCCCCCCCCAAAAAATGATAACCATTTACTTCCTCTGCTATACCATATAACATTTTGTGTATAAGAAAGATGTATTTTTTCCAGATAACGTATAAATTCCTTAATAACAGAAAATAGGTGTTATTTATTGGTATATCTTGGTAAAATGTTTTGTTCATAGGAGGCAAGGGATATTAATTCATTATTATAAGAAAAAAGGAGAAGAGGTTTGAAGAGAGAACTTTGTTGAACATTCACATCTAGGACCCTGCTCTGGTATCCCCATGTCTTGATTCCCCCGTTTTCTCTATATGTCAAAGCTTCCATGGAATTTTAAAGGGCAGAACATTGTCTTTCTGTCTGAGGCAGAAAGACTTAGGCCACTAGCTTTTAGTACATGGAGGAGAGAAGGAAGGCCTGGATGGGTTAAAATAAAGGAAGAAACTAGAAAGTGTCCAGAATTTAGCTTTGAGTAAAATAGAAAAGTCCTTACTTTTTAAATCAACCAAAGAAATTTGCCTCTGTAGGACTTGTTGCTCAACCAAACGCATGATATCAGGAAAAATAATAATAATAAAAAACTCTTTTGATAACAACCAATGTCTTCAGAATACTCTTTTATATATAAATTTTAGATTCTGATGAAGGGGATTACAGTTCAACAAGTGGCAAAATATGAGCCCAAGGCAATTTGCTCCTTAGGAAACACTGCTTAGACCCTGACTGCAGAGGAAAGGTTGAAGCTTCAGATTATAAATTCAGATCGAAATTCAGATCGACTATCAGGTCTCTAGGTCTCTATGCATGATCCATGATGATGGTCAGTAGGTTTGTGTAACCTATGTGCCCTACCCTGTGCCTCAATTTATTTACTTCAAAATGGAGTGATTAGACTTTGTTTCTTACGTCCTTTATCACTATAATGTTTGATGATGCTCCGCCCTTATATTCCTTTCACCTAATCTTTTTAATCTTAAAAAATATAAAATGTTTTTATAAAATTCTTTGATGTTCTTAAATGTTATTCAACATGATAACAGTACAATTCACTAAGCCTAAATTTCATCATTTTAATATTGCCTTAGAGGCCAAGTTTTATGAGAGTCTTAATTTGCATCACCAGAAGCTCATTTAATAAAAATGAAAGAATCCCTTTTGTAAACAAATTTTTAAAAGTGATGGTGGGGAAGAGGGACAAAGAAGTGTATGCAAAAACAAACAAACAAACAAACAAAAAACCAGAAAATGGAACTTAGAAGATGTCAAATGGTTCTGAGTTCTAAAGAATACTGTGGTTACATTAATGTTGAAAAGCTGATGCTAACTTTTTATGCACTAAAAGTACTTCTGCTTATGGTTCCTTCCCAAATCCCTGGCCTCTTGACCCAATACTTATTATACCACTGTCCTTTTCCCCTGAAACAAAATCTATCAGTAACACAAACTGAGGTATCAGAGCATCATCTACCCTGGAATCGGCATATTTATTTGTGGAGTCAACTCTAGTGTGTGGGATATAAAATACACAGCCTAACTGGAGAACTGCTGAAGACCATTTCATAGGTGAAAAGGATGTGGTATGAATGGGAAATTTTCACTTTGGTTGGGAAAAAGAAGTGCAAAGTCAATGAGGTAAAGGGCTGGGAGTTGGATTCCTGGTATGATATGATAAGCAGAAAGGTTGTTTTTGGCAAATTCCTTTATCACATCTTCCTGACTATAAAAAACCATATTCAACCCCTGTTTATAATAAATATTCTCTGACAGAATGAACCCTGGATTTCTGACTTTTAAAAAGTTTTGTAATTAAAGTAATAATGGCTGTTTTACGATTACCTTGTGCCAAGGGGTAGGAATTGCAAAAATGAGTAAGAAAGAGCCCCTGCTCTTAGAGACCTTACTGCCTGTGGATTTGAACTGTTGTAGTTATGACAAGAGTTACCAATAACCGTCATTTATTCACTCATACCAGCCAAGTACCGTGGTCAGTGGGCAATATACACAAACTGCCAAAGTCCCCTTCATCTCACCAGATGCAATGAAAATGCTCTGTCCATGCATCATCTCTCAACAAAAATGAGCTTAGCAGGAATTCAGACCATAGGCAGAGACATATAAGCAACTCCAGAACTGCCTACTGTCAACACACAAGAACTACATTCAATAAAGAGTTCAGTGAACTAGAGTGAAAAATGAGAGCAATTGTCTGAATCACCTTTAGTGTACTCTGTTGGGAGCTGTGACACTCTAAAAACCACGGTGCAGTAGACTCCACATCTGGCATTCCAACAATGGAAGGTTAAGTGTTTTAAGACTCCTTAGCGAAAGAACTTGCAATACATTAAACTGTAAAACTGAGGAAGACATCATAAGCTTCTGGATTTTATTACCAAAATGTACATTTTGATCTAAAATTAAAAATAAAAACAGATTGACTTTCCTTGTAGTATTTCACAACCTTTGAGTGCAGCATTAAAAATGCTTTTCTTTTTTTCTTCACCAACTATAAGCTTCTGTTTTCTTACCCTGGGCGTCTGAATCTTTTATATGCTTGGGTTCTATTCACTGCCTGTTATTCAGACGTTGAAATCCCAAATGTTAATTGTTCTTCCAAGTACATTGACAAAACAGCAGCTAAATAAGGGTAGACCAGACTGTGGTAGACTCTGACATGCATTTATGGAACAATGGGGCTCTGAGAGACAGCCTTGTAGCTCACGGGAAGACATAAGATGTGCTATTTTGACTGCTTCGTAGCAGAATGGGGAACACACGCACACAAGGGAATTATGCATTTTACTTAGTTTTGCCCAAAGTCCTCAAGGCAACAGAATCTTGTGATGTCATCATGAACTTTCTTTCTCTCCATTTCCATTGACACAAAAGGCTAAAAATTTCTAATGACATCACAAAGGGGAAAATGAAATCTACTTTGATTCCACAAAAAATCTTTTACCTTCAGTGAGACTGGTAAAAAAAAAAATACAAGAATCTTTCCAGACAGTGTGTATGTCACTATGCTCATGCACAGTGGGTGACACCCTCCCTAATGAAATTCAAACCAGCCAAAAGAAAGGATTCACAATTTAGGGTGAATAAAAAAGACATACTGAATATTGAGACCAACAACTTTTTTTTTTTTTTTTTTTTTTTTAAGAAGAAAACCATTTAAACATATATTTCTTAAGGGACATTCAAATTTTTACTCATGTCTGGTTACTATGTTACCAATGTTTTTGTTCTTTTTTGGGTTGGTCACAGAAACACAGAAGAAGGTAAGGAAGCTTTGACTTACAGGAATACAGTGCAGCTCAATCTTTTGTTTTTAAGGTGCAGTGATTTCAGTCTCTAAATGTAACTTCGGGCAGTCTGAAAAGAAACAGGTTAAAATCTCTTTCAGTTATAATTGGTATTTCAGATTTAATTAAAAATTAAACTTTCATAATGTTTCACCATCCAAAGCAATGCATTATCAGTCAAGCGTGGCTTTTCTTTTTTTTTTTTTTCCTTAACAGAAAAAAAAAAACCCTCTTCCCAGAGTAGTTTTTTAATGAAAAGAAAGGATCTAAAGACGAGAAAAAAAAGCAATTCTGAAAAACAAAATATGCCTCCATGTTAAGGACTTTATAATGATATGACTAGAAACTCAATGTTTCTGAATTTTAGCTATATTCTAATTTTTTAAAATAAATTCATAAACTATTTCACAGCCTAAAGATTACAGAAAATATAAGTTCAGAGAATAAAAACAAAAATCTATGGATCTGGATACACATATTAAAGGGAAATTATAACTTCAAATAGAATTGTAAAAAATGCTATATCTGCTACTTTTCAGTGACTGAATTGCTGGTGAGATAGATGGTGAAGCAGGGCTAAATGAACATATTTAACAACACAAAATGGCCATTGAAATGTACTGTATTATGGGTTTAGCGTGCCCCATTTCACATCATATTGTACATCTTGTCACATGCAGGCACTGCTGTTTGAAGCAGCACAGGAAGACCAAGAGAGTCTGAACCAGACTCGCTGGTTTAAATAACTGTAACCACATTGCTTAGTTTTTAAATATGTACTTTTAATTCTAAATTAAGTAAGAGTCCAGGCATTAAGATCTCCAAATATATCATAAATATTGGGCTTAAAATATTATACATTTTTAAAAAAATTTCTTTCTTCAAACAACACCATATATAAAGATAATAGTATTTTAAATTAAAAAGACATACACTAGAATTAAATCATCCTTACTTTTAGCTTTCAAAAACAGACACAAAGGGATTTAGAAAAATTTGGTTTTTAAAATATAAAATGAGGTAACATAATTAGCTTTCTTTCATTTTATAGCATGGCAGAATACTTTCTACATATTTGTAACACTAAATGTCATATGTTTATGTCCAATTTCACATTAGTGCAAGGTAATATTTTAATATTTCCCCATATGAGAGCATAATCACAAATCACCCCTGAAATTCTACTATTATTAGAAAGCATACATAGGTCTTATTTGTGATTCCTGTTTTCCTTTTCTCTTGAACTATATAGAGGAATATTTTGGGTAATATGTCTATTTGCTGTACATAGATTTTAAATGTAAACATGCTCAGGTTCACACTAAATTCACTCATGAATGAGATTAGATTAAAAAAAAATCACTGACATTGACTATCTCAACTTTTCCCCTCCTCTCACATGCCTGAATTAGGCTAAAAATGAACCAGCGTAAAGGCAGAAATTATGAAGGCGTCACCAGGGACAACTGAATGAGAGGAGGGGAGTGCACATATTTCCTTATAAGGCAGCAAAATATTCATTAAAAAACTGTCAAAAATAACTTGTGCTCAGAAATTATATGAGATATAACATAAATATATTGAGTAACAATAATCTCTGAAAAATGATTCAGAAATGTAAAAACTGCCCACCTCTGGATAAATCTGAATTACCAACTAGCATTGTTGTACTCAACAACAAAATATAGTTAGTGAAAAGAATTCATTCTCTAGTTTAGACATGAAAAGGTGATAGAAACTAGGCTGAATATTTACATATAAACTATTTAACTACCAACTATTAGTAGTTTAATTCAATCAGTCAGGTTTCCTTCTCGTCAATTCGCCAGATGTTGAATGAAATATCAGCTCAAAATAATTAAATTAATTATATGAATAGATGGTCAGTGGACAAATTTTCATTTCCCCTCTCCCCCATGCCATTTCTCCTTCTCCTCTTTGATAGTTTTCCTCTATTTCTGCCTTTCTTCTCCACTTTCACTTTCTTTCTTATTTCTTTTTCTGTCTTTTTTTCGTCTTGGTGAGGGTAATGAAGCTCAAAAATAACATCTTGTATCCTGTTGAGGGAAACTTGATCACAACTATCCTTCCAGATGACAAACTCATTCTTAAATGTCTGTTTCCCAATCCAAAGAAAACACAGCAATTGAAAAAATAGAGACTTAACATCACTTTCCACTACCAACACCACCTCTTTCAATTCCCATGCTGTATTCATCACGAGAACTGAAATTTATTTACATTATACCTAACCTCAAATAGGACCACAAATAAGACTAATAACAGGACCATTTTGTGGCACTCAGGCAAACGGCTGGGCAAAACAGATGGATCTTACTTTGCGCCAGGACTCAAAAAATATAGTCGCCAACTCACTGTTGGCGACTACATATCTTGGCCCAAAGATGGACCTGGAAGTGGGACCAGTTGTCTTTGATATGAATAGTGCTCCTCTTATCTCCTCATGAACAAATCAGTAACTCTGTCACTATTTAGTGTGGTTATCAGGTAGAAGCTGCTTAAAAGACTGGTCATCAAGGAAATGAAATATTCCGAGGGATGTCAGGTGAGATGAAGGAACAGAAAGTCAGGACAAATACCTTATTTTTAGTATTTTCATCTGTTTTCAACTTTCTGTTGTTTTTTTCTTTTTAATCCAACTTCACTACCGTATACTGAACCCACCTTTAAAATAGATTTACAGAGTATGTGTCATCAATAAGAAAACTTGTTTCTGGCATTTCAGGTTCCAAAATCTGTTAAAATTTTCAGTCACATGGATCAATCTGTCATTATTAAAATTGACAACCAGTGTCAGACTTCTTTAACCAGAACAAAACTATGTAAGGCTTTACAGATTACAATCAACATCCAATGATGCACTAAGAAACAGCTCAGTAATCAATGCAAATTACAAAATCCGGAAGAATGCTTCTCTGGCAGAGACCATTTAGCAAAAGAGTTGTACATTCTGCACTCCTTAAAGATTCTGAATGGCTTTCCAGAGAAGTAGCAAATGCATGATATTACAGTAACCTATCCTGTAAGTCACAAGGCCATAAACAAAGCCTCTAGTCAATTAAAAAAAAAACAAAAAACTGAAGGTGGGTGAGAACTATAGATCTTACCATTGACTACAAACAAAGGGCTGCTTCTGACCACATTCTACATTTTAAAATCCTCACACAGAGGAGTTTTGATATCACCAGGTCACAGAACTTCAAGGAAAGAACAACAAAGCATTCCAGCTTAGGAGGTCTATGTTAATTCAGGCACTTCTCTTATTGCTCTTCCAACTATTCAGTACTGATTGTATCTTGCTAAGATTGCTTTTAAGAGTTCACTCATGTCTCTATGATTTATTTATTCAGACATTGTACAGATTTGATTTTTAAGAGACAGGCTTGTTTATGGTCAGCATAGAAGGCTAATTATACTTTAATTCCTTATTTTCGATTTTTTTTCTTTTCACTCTTTAAAAACTTTTTAGTATAAAAAATTTCAAATACATGCAAGAGTACAGAACAAAGCAAAATGAACTCTCTTGTATCCATCACCCATAGTCAATTTTTTTTCCAATTATATTCTCACCTACTTTTTCTTCCATCAGATCATCTGAAAGACAATCCCAAATATCTTATTTTGTGCATGAATACTCTACTATGTGTTCCTGAAAGATGACAATCATAACTAATATCATTCCACATCAAAAATAATAGAAATTCTTTAATGTATTAAATATCCTGTCCATGTTAAATGATTGACTTTTAAATGGTCTTTTCTTTTTACAGCTGGTTAGTTTGAATCAGTATCTAAATAAGATCTGCACATTACATTTGAGTGATAATTATCTTTATACATTCTCCATTTCCTTTTTAAAATTTTAACTTTGTATTTTGAACCAATTTTAGAATTATGGAAAAGTTACAATGATAGAACTTTGAGTCCCCGTATTTCCTTCACTAGCTTCTCCTAATGTTAATATCTTACATAACCATGGTAAACTTGTCAAAACTAAGAAATTAACATTGATAAAATACTGTTAAACTACAGACTTTATTCAGATGTCATCAATTTTTCCATTAATATCATTTTTCTGTTCCAAAAATCCAATCCAAGATACCATACTGCATTTTAGTTGCCATGTCTCCTTAGTCTCTTCTGATCTGTGACAGTTTCTTAGTCCATGTTTTCCATGACTGATAATTGTGAAGACTGGTGGTCAGATATTTTGTGAAACATTTCACAACTTTGATTTGTCTAATCCCATAACTAGATTAGGATTATAGGTTTTAGAGAAGAATACAAAAGAGGTAATGTGCTCTTCTTATAACATAATATCAGAGGTATGTGATATCAACATGGTATCTCTGGGTATGTTAACTTTAGTCACTTGCTTAAGAGAGTATCTGCCAGGTTTCTCTACACTTCTCTTAGTTTTAATAAGTATAATTTCATTTGTTAACAATTTATTGAGATATAATTTATATAACATACAATCCACTCTTGTTACATGTGCACCTCAATGACATTACGTAAATTTAGAATTGTATAACCACCACAATCCATTTTACCCTTATGATCCAGCAATACCACTTTAAGGTATCTAAGAGAAAAAAAAATGTCCACACAAAGACTTGATTTTATGTGAACGTTTATGGCAGCATTATTCATGATAGTAAAACACTGGAAACAATTCAGATGTCCATCTGTGTGTGGTGGGGGAGGTGTATGTATGTCACTTAGAATTTTCTACATACAGGATTAATATTGTTGGCAAATGAATAATTTTATTTTTTACTTTCCAATCTGTATGCCATTGAATGTTTCTTTCTGGTGTGTCTACCCTTTTCTTTCACTTCTTCCTGCTTCCTTTTTTTTTTTTAGCCTTTCCTCTAATTTGCTTCTCTTTCTTGTATTTATCATTCTGGATTGAATCTTCAATACGATGTTGAAGAGAAGACCTAAGAACTGACACCTTGACTCTTTTCCAATCCTAGGATTATATCAGTCAGGTTTTCATAATCATATACATTAGTTATAAGCTCTTCATAGATGTCATTTGTCAGG